GGGGGAGGGGCTAGGGGAGGGGGAGAAGTGGGTGCCCGTTTCAACACCCTCCCCTAGCCCCTCCCTCTGAAGAAGGAGGGGGACCAAAGGCGCTAACGCTTCTTCGATTGAGTTAGCGAGCCGTGCTAACTCTTGCATTTTCCTGTGGCGATTAAGGCTCCCCGACTTCCTTTAGGGATGGCGTCGTTACGATGTCCCGATTGATTGAAATCGACCTCGATGTCCCCGCGACGCCGCTGCCGCGGCGCGTGAAGGACCTGCTTGACGACGCCGACGACCGCATCGAGCGGTTCCACCACCGCCGCCGCGACAACCCCGCCCCGGCCTTTGTGCCGAGCGACTTTGTCGAAAGTTATCGGGCCCTCTCCAAAGTGGCCGAGTTAAGCCTTGCCCCCGGCGGACGGTTTCTGGAGTGGGGGAGCGGCATCGGCGTCGTCACCCTCCAGGCAAGCCTCTTGGGGTTCGACGCGATCGGCATTGAGATCGAGGAGGACTTGGTCGATGAGGCCAACTCACTTTCCGAGGACCACGGCATCGAGGCCGAGTTCCTCTGCGGCAGCTTCGTCCCCGACGGCGGTGACGACGTGCTCGAAGCCAACGCCTACAACCTCTCCCGCACCATCACCTGGCTCCGCAACGATGTCGCCAGTGCGTACGACGATCTAGGCCTCGAACCCGATGATTTCGACTTGATCTTCGCGTACCCCTGGCCCGGTGAGGAAGACACGGTGTTCGACCTCTTCGCCGAGTTCGCCTCGGTCGGAGCCTTGCTGATGACGCACCACGGCGAGGAGGGGATGCGTTTGCAGCGGAAGCGAAGGTAGAAAAGGGGAAAGGGAATGCCGAAAGTGGAAAGTAATTAGTTACCGCCTGACGCAGCAAATCTTTTCCGCATTCCCCTTTCAACTTTCCCCTATTGAGAATGTCGCTTCGCTCTACCCTTCTCGACCTCGAGCGTCACGGCCATCTGCGGCGGATCGACGCGCCGGTGGACGCTTATCTTGAGGCAGCGGCCATTCATCGGCGGGTCTTTGCGGCGGGCGGGCCGGCGCTGTGGTTCACGAACGTGACCGGCTGCCGGTTCTCGATGGCGAGCAACTTGTTCGGCACGCTCGAGCGCTCGAAGTTTCTTTTCCGCCACACTTATGAATCGGTGCAGCGGCTGATCGACCTCAAGGTCGATCCGACGCGAGCGCTGAAGTCGCCCCTGAAGTATGCGACGACGCCGTTCGCCGCCCTGCGGATGCTGCCGAAGTCCGTCCGTAGCGGCCCGGTGATGGCCTGCGAGACCACGATCAGTTCACTGCCGAACCTCGTCAGTTGGCCCCGCGACGGCGGGCCGTTTGTGACGCTGCCGCAGGTCTATACCGAGGATCCGCACGCCCCGGGGCTGATGAAGTCGAACCTCGGCATGTACCGCATCCAACTCGCTGGCAACGAGTACGAACGAGACAGCGAGATCGGCCTGCACTATCAACTGCATCGCTCGATCGGCGTCCATCAGGCCGAGGCGAGGCGGCTCGGCAAGCCGTTCCGTGTGAATACGTTCGTCGGTGGCCACCCGGCGATGACGCTTGCCGCGGTGATGCCGCTCCCCGAGGGGATGAGCGAATTGACGTTCGCCGGCGCGCTAGCGGGGCGACGCATCCGCATGGTGAAGCGTCGCGAAGGGCTACCCGTCTACGCCGACGCCGACTTTGCGATCTGCGGCACGGTGGTCCCCGGCGAGAACGGCGCGGGCGGCTTGCCTCGCATGAAGCCCGAAGGCCCCTTCGGCGATCACCTGGGCTACTATTCGTTGCAGCACCCGTTCCCCGTGCTGCGGGTCGAGCGCGTCTATCACCGCCGCGATGCGGTCTGGCCGTTTACGGTGGTCGGTCGCCCGCCGCAAGAAGACACGGCGTTTGGCGAACTCATTCACGACCTCACCGGCCCGGTGATCCCGACGGTTCTCCCAGGCGTGCTAGGCGTCAACGCTGTTGACGCCGCCGGCGTGCACCCGCTCCTGCTCGCGGTGGGCAGCGAACGCTACATGCCCTTCAACGGCGAATCACGGCCCCAAGAGATTCTCACGCAAGCCAGCGCCATCCTCGGGCAAGGGCAATTGTCACTTGCCAAGTTCCTCTTCATCGCCGACGCGGGATGCTGGCAAAGCCGACAAGAGGCGACGCACGACTTGCATGCCGTGCGGCCGTTCCTCGAAGCGGTACTACGACGCGCTGATTGGACCCGCGATCTGCATTTCCATACGCGGACGACGATCGACACGCTCGACTACTCGGGCGATTCGCTCAACGCGGGGTCGAAGGTCATCATCGCCGCCGCGGGACCTCCGAAGTTCGAGTTGGCGACAGAGATTGGCAACGGCGTTTCCCTGCCCGATGGCTACGGCGACGCACGTGTCGTGATGCCCGGTGTTGTTGTCCTACGGGGACCGAAGTTGCCGGCGCCATCGTTTGACTACGACGCGGCGTGGCGCGGGGATGTGTCGGGTGAAGCGGTGGAGGCGGAGGGGCTCGCTAAGCCGCAAGCGGCGGCCGAACATGATATGGAACGCTTCGTCAAAGGCTTGCCGCTTAGCGACCCGTTGTGTCGCTTCCGGCTGATCATCGTGGCCGACGACCCCGACTTCGTCGCCGCGGCCAGCGGCCGCGAAGGGATCGGTAACTTCCTCTGGACGACCTTCACCCGCGCGAACCCCGCGGCGGACCTCTACGGCGTCGCCGCGTTCACCGACCGTAAGCACTGGGGCTGCCGCGGCCCGCTGGTGATCGACGCCCGCATCAAGCCGCACCACGCCCCGGTGCTGGAGGAAGACCCGCAAGTGACGTCCAAGATCGAAGCAATGGCCGCCCAGGGCGGGCCGCTGCACGGGCTGTTCTAGGGCCCGCGGGCTGATTCCTGGGTTTCCCAGCCCGCGGCGGCGGCGTAGTCTCTTTAGAAGCAAAACCCGCAATTTATTGCGGCTCCCAACGCCTCCCGATCGGAAAACGCAACATGCGCCAGTCAGTTGTTTCGCTCCTTGCCCTCTCGTTGACGATGGGCGTCATGGCGCCGTCGCTTGCCCAGCAGCCCGCCGCCAAGGTGGTCCCTATACAGGGCGCCGGGCCGGAGGCCCCCGAGGAAGGCCAGCCCGAAGAGCCCGCCCTCACCATCGGCACGAAGGCTCCGAACCTCGACATCGAGCACTGGTTTAGCAGCGAAACGCCCGAGCAGCCGATCAAGTTTGAGAAAGACAAAGTCTACGTGGTCGAGTTCTGGGCGACATGGTGTCCACCGTGCGTGGCGAGCATGCCGCACCTAGCCGAACTGCAGAAGCAGTACGCCGACAAGGGCGTGACCATTATCAGCGTTAGCGACGAAGACACAGAGACGGTTGAAGCGTTTCTCGACACCACGGTGCGTGGTAGGGAGGAGGAAGCCACGGAGAAGGAAACCGAGGGTGAGGAGGGGGCCGAAGAGAAGAAGGCGCCGACCTACCGCGAGCNNGCGAGCTAACCAGCGCGTATCAACTCACCGCCGACCCCGACGGATCGACGAGCGCCGACTACATGGAAGCCTCCGGACAGAGCGGCATTCCCTGCTCGTTCATCGTCGGCAAGTCGGGCTATATCGAGTGGATCGGCCATCCCATGGGGATCGACGACGCGCTCGCCAGCGTGGTCGCCGACACTTGGGACCGTGAGGCGTTCCTCGAAGAGTTCAAGCAACAACAGATGCGCGACCTCGCCATGCAGCAGGTCCAACGTGCTCTGGGCTCCGGGGATTACGAGCGGGCGATGGAGTTGATCGAAAAGATCAATAAGGACAACTCCGACCCACAGCTCACGATGCTCGCCTCACGGCTCAAGGGAGTTGTGATGGTGCAGCAATTCGTCAATTCAATCAGCGAAGATCAAGCGGCCGCTGCGAAGGAACTGCCGAAGGTCATGGAGCAAGCCGC